CTCCTGGCCACCGCAGCCTCGACCTGCTGGGCTCCGGCGATCCTTCCGCCTCAGCCTTCCAAGTAGCCAGAATTACAGGCATGTGCTACCATGCCCGGCTGATTTTTAGATTTATTGTAGAGATGAGGTCTCGCTGCCCAGGCGGGTCTCGAACCCACTGGCTCAGGCAATCCACTCACCTCAGCCTCCCAAAGGCGCGGGATTACAGGCTGAGCCACCGAGCCCGGCTATTATTATTTTTTAAGAGACACAGATTTGCTCTATTGCCCAGATTGGAGTGCAGTGATGTAATCATAACTCCTGGGCTCAAGTGCTCCTCCAACTTCAGCCTCCCAATGGCTGGCTTGAGCTTTTAACTTGTCTACCTTAAAAATATCTGTTTCTTGGGGGATACTTGCAAGATGTCACCTTACAACCTCCTTTAAGCTCAGTGATAGAAAAAAAGGCAGTGGTGAGACTGTCCAAGTAGACGGCTGAGGTGGCCACCAGACAGCCTGATACGTGATGAGGTCACACACTGAGGAACGCTGAGGTGGCAGAAGACCTCTCTCTACTTTTTGGCTAGAACAATGCATAAGCCTGAGACTCACGGTGGAATGGAAAAATAGGAACCTGGTGTACCTGCCTTTTTTTATTTTTATTTTTTGAGTTGGAGTCTTACTGTCGCCCAGGCTGGAGTACAGTGGCACACTCACGGCCATGGTAGCCTCAACCTGCTATGCTCGGGCGATCCTTCCACCTCAGCCTTCCAAATAGCTGGAACCACAGGCACACACCACCATGCCTGGCTAATTTTTTTTTTATTTGTAGAGATGAGGTCTTGTCAAGTTGCCCAGGCTGGTCTTGAATCTGTGAGCTCAGGCAGTCCTCTCACCTTGGCCTCCCAAATTACTGGGATTATAGACATGGGCCACCGCATCTGGCTGGACCTACCTTTTTTATAAGGCCTGGAGATAAACAGCTGTACAAAACACCACGTGACTGGGAAGAAAACTTGCACAAAGCATAAGAAATTGCCGCTGTACAAAATCTGAAAAGAGAAAGCAGAAATTATAACGTATAAGTGGATCCATACAAAATCAGGGATGAAGGAAAAGCACGCCTGAGTCTCCCATCACTGACTCGAGTGAATTCTGCACTAGTGGCCTGGGTACTAGTCCTCGGTTCAGAAGCTCCTGTAGTTCTCAGCACAGGCCCACCTCCTCAAAGCAGGGGCCCTTCCACACGAAGGCAGATCAGGCAACAAGCAACACCTGGACCACGTGTGCACCGGGGAAAGAGCCAGACCCAGCAACAGAAGAACCTGCTGGCAGGGCCTGCCTCTGCATTAGGAGACCAGGGTGGGACACAGTGGGGAGGAGGTGGCAGGTGCCTTTAGCCCAGCTGTGTGTCTCCCATGTAATGATGTAAAAAGAAGCCTGCAGAACACCCGAAAGCCCTGCTCCATGTTCTGAGACTGGCTTGTGTCTGTTTGCACACAGTAAACTACTTCCACCATAGCAGCGCCAGGCTGGGAAGTGTGGAGAAAAAAAAGATGAAGAACAGGAGCTGACCCTGAACGAGGAGAGAAGGAAGCTGGCAAGGATGGGCCAGGCACAGATGCCCTAGGTACCACTGGGGCTGCATAGGCAGCCCTTCACACCTATCCTAACATGCTCGTAGGAGAATACAAACGAGGGTGCACGGTGGCTTGGGCCTGTAATCCCAGTATTGTGGGAGACCAAGGTGGGAGAACTGCTTGAGGTCAGGAATTCAAGACCAGCCTGGGCTACATAGCAAGATCTGTCTCTATTTAAAAAAACAAACAAACCGGGCTCGGTGGCTCAGCCTGTAATCCCGTGCCTTTGGGAGGCTGAGGTGAGTGAATTGCCTGAGCATGCGGGTTCGAGACCCGCCTGGGTAACTTGACAAGACCTCAACTCTACAATAAATCAAAAAATTAGCCGGGCGTGGTAGCGCGCGCCTGTAGTTCCAGCTACTTGGAAGGCTGAGGCGG